CCCCTCGAATTGAGGGGGATTCAAACTTTACATGGTCATAATTTTTGAACGCTGAAATATTTTACAATGAAATTTAAAATTTATGGATAAATATAAGTCTTGTTGAGAATAGTACAAAAAATATTATATCATCTTGTTGCTCTCACGTTTGGGGCAGGTACGTCTCAAATTTTAGGGCTTTTTTGTTCCCAGGCTCCAATCATCGCAATTTTTTGCAAACCATTCTTATTTGATATAAGTATAAACATATAAATGTTTGGAGTTTGCTCCATGTCTAGAAGTTAGCTATCTCAAACACCAAAAAATGCTGGATCCGCCCCTGGATATAATAGAAAAGTTCATAAATAAGTAAATTAATAAAATTATTGAAATATTATAAAGTTAAAGATAAGTTATAAAACTTTATTTTAATTTTATTTTTACAATTACGTTTAGAAATCGAAATATAAAGGAATTTAAAAAAAATTATAGTCTAGTAAATTGATTTTGAGAAAATGACAAAAAAAAACTAAACTACTTATAGTTGTGCATTAACAGAAATATTTTTTATTTTTTCTATTTGTACGTCAAAAAAACTTTCTATTGGTCGTATATCTAAATATATGATTGATTTCAGTATATAGATTGTAAAAATAGAAATAACAAAAATCTTTTTTTTGTGACTTAGCAGATTTCGCAGATGGCCTCCTCATATGATCAAAATAGAATTTATTTGATTGTAGTTTAGTGTGGTTTAAGTAAAACTAAAGACTCCTAAGTTATTTTATGTTATTTGTTTCTATCAAATAATAAATTGTAATTTATTATTTGATAGAATTGTATTTTACGTTTTTTAATAGCTGAATTGCACTTTATGACAACGTATAAATTTTATTAATATGTTTTTAACTTTTGCATAAACTCTGCTACTTTTAGTACAGTAACTGCTGTGTGTTGATCTCTGTTTGTCGACTGAGTTTTACTGTAAATTTGAATTGAAAAAATGAAATACGGAAACCATTAATTTTACAGAGTAAGTGTCTCTTTGCTGACTAACTTTCTCCGTAAATTTGTTAAAAAAATAAGATCTACGGTAAATTTGTTAAAAAAAAAAGAAACCGTGAATTTAATGTAGAATTTCTTTTTCTTTTTTAACGAATTCTCTCCGTTATTTTATACGGAAAAAAGAAACTAAGAACACTGTTAATTTTTACAGAGAAAGTGCTATCTTTTCGCTGCCTGATACTCTACATCGAAACTGCAGCAAATTTTTTAACAGTATATATCAACCATAATAAAAATAAAAATATATAATAAAGCACCTGCATCTATGATTGCGTAGTTAGATAATTGTCTACTTATAGCTACCGAAAAAAAATGTTTGCATATTTCGCTACATGTTGTTTGAATCTTTTAAAAACTTTAAAACTTTAATTTTTGTCATTTCTGTCCTCTTTTAAGTGTTTAGAATGCGTTGCGATTTTAATTTCTTACTTACTGATGTTACCTGATGATGACGATGATGATGATGACGCAACCTTTTCTAACTCTATTTACAACAACAACATAACACTTAGGATTTTAAGAAAACCCTAGATTTCTCCTTCCAAAAACCTCAGAAATACCTAGATTATGTAAATGGTAGTAAGTTATCGTGAAAACTATTTTTTTTCCACAGGAATTGCTCGTAATTACCCTGGCTTAAGGCCGCACTTTTAAAAATAGCCCTAAACCAAAAATGATATTAGCTAAAAGTATACTACCGAATAATAAATTAACTACAACAACTAAATTAACTTAAATAAACTTATTTATAGTTATTTACCATTTAAGTTAGTTTTTTTAGTTTACTTATAAAATTATATTATATTATAACTGTTACTTATAAGCGACTCCGCATCAATATCGACAACTTCAATTTCTGCTTTGTCAAGATCATAAGTAAAAATTGACAACCTGGACAGCTGCTAGTAGAGTTTTAAGATATCTGCATATCTCTGTAACTCCCTCAAATTGTGGGGGTTAAAACTGTCATATTTTTATAACTTTTGAATGCTGAGAGATATTACTATGAAACTTAAAATTTATTGATGAATATAAGTCTAATTGAGAAAAGTACAACAAATATTTTCTCCACTTGTTGCCCCTCACATTTGGGGTAGAAAGGGATTTGGTAAGAAGGTAAGTAATGTTTTTGTTCCCAGTCTCCAATCATTGCAATTTTTTTCATCGCATCAATATTTGAAATAAGTATTTACGTAAAACTTTATTAAGTAATGTTTAGAATTCGAATTTTTGAATTAAAATTCGAATATCGAACTTCAAATATTCTTTAACTATTGATTAAAGATGTTTGCGCAAATTGATAATCAAATATAAATTTTAATTTTATGCATAAAAACCACAACAACAAAGTAAACCCACATTTGACAATATTTTGCAAAAAAAAAACACAGAAACCTAAACAGGGGTATAAAAACCCAGGTCTAGCAAAAAAAAAACCAGATCTAGTGAGAAAAGC